CCTCGCGCTGCTGGGAGCGGGCAGCTCCTGGGCGCGCAGGCAGCAGCAGACATCCAGCCGGGAGCCCTGTGGAGGCAGCCGTCCCCGGTGTTCCACAGCAGCCCTGGGCCGCCACCCTCCTCCCGGCCGCACAGGCCAGCGAGGGCCCTGCCCGCAGGCTCTTTCCCCCGGGGCCACCACCCTCCCTCCCGGCCGCGTCCCTGTGCGCTGTGTGTGCAGAGGCAGCAGCTCCCTCGGCGCCGAGACCCTGACCCACATGCCCTTTGGGAAGTTTGATCCAAGTCCCCAAAACGACCAAAACAAAATTGCTTTTCTGTGGGACAGGGGACGACGAGGCCCGCACGTTCCCCACAGCGTCCCTGCCCCAAGCCCACTCCGAGCCTCTCTACAAAGTGAAGGGCCCCCCCACCCCGTCCAGAACGGGCGAGCGGGTCCCCTACCTCCTGCCTCCTGCTGTCGAGGGACACCAGGGCCACGAAGGCGGACATCTGCAGCAGGAAGTCCAGGATCAGGGCGAGGCCAGAGGTCAGCGCAAAGGTCCGCACGGCGGGCATGGGGGTCAGGGCCCCTGGGGGACAGAGGAGACTCAGGACACGGTGTCTGCTCACAGGTGCAGAGGGGCTGCCCGCACCCCGCTGTCCAGGCCGGGAAGTGGGGGGCAGGGGCTTCTCACCCAGGAAGAAGCAGACGGCCTCGGAGACGCTGCAGAGCAGCATGCTGGGCCCCACGCGGCCCAGCGCCCGGCCGATGTGCGCCTCCCGCCGCTCCCCAGGCCTCCGGGGCAGCCTCTGGCGAGGGGGGGACAGCAAGGACGGGGTCAAGGGCTGGCCAGTGGGTGGGCAGGTGCCCTCCCTCCTGCACAGCATCGTCCAGAGTCCCAGCTGAGCCTGAGGGACAGTCGGCCGACCTTCCCAGCCCCCCCTTCTCAGGCTGGCCCAGAGGGATGCAGGGTGTGTTTTGGGGTGTCCGTGGCATCCTTGGCCCAATGGCCATTGGGACCTCAACATCCACCAACAGCAGAGGCTAAATCAACTGACTCCCTTCCCTGGACGCTACCTGGTGCCCCCACGTGTGGCCTGACACCCTACAGAGGGCATCTGGGCGAGTGTAGGTGACAGGGTGAGAGTGCAGGTATGTGCGTGACAGACCCACAGCAGGGCCTCTGCAGGGATGAGGACAGCGTCAGGGAGGGAAGCCCTGGGGACCACACGGGGTGTCTGGGGGGAGCACCCAGGAACCCACCTGGGGGCATCTGGGGGTGTCGGGCAGGGCGCCCCACTCACCTGGTACTCCAGGACGAAGATGAAGATGTTGTCCGCCCCCACGGCCAGCACCAGGAAAGGCACCACTTGCAGGACCACCAGGGAGGAAGGGACGCTCAGGTAGGCAAAGAAGCCCATGGCGGCCATCACAGCGCCCAGCACCACAGCCACCCCGCCCAGGCCCAGCGTGACCTTGGCGTCCACCTGCGAGGGGATGGGGTCAGCCTCCTGTGCAGGGCTGGCGATGGGCCCCCGTGGGTGCTGGGGGAGCGCACCACCCCTGGGGAGCCTTGGGGGGGTGTCCCCTGCAGCCAGACGTCTGGTTGGAAGGTATTGATGCCCTCCCCACGCCCCCCCTCACCGGCATGCGGCGCCAGCTGGTGTAGCTGCCCAGGGCCAGGGAGATGTACAGGAAGATGACCAGGTAGCTGATGGCAAAGATGGGCAGGTCCTCGGCTGTGGTCCGGCTGATCTCGTCCTCCAGGGAGCGCTGTGGACACACCCACCAGCCCGCTGACCCTGGACCGCTGTGGGTCACTCAGGAAGAACCGGATGGGGCCACAGAAGCCCCCCCGAGCCCCTTGGGGTGTCCCCGAGCCGGGGACCCGCGGCCCTACCTCCGCCATGAAGGTGACCTGGAGCGTGCCGGCCATCTGCCGCTGGAAGGCGCGCACCTCCTCCAGGAAGGCCCCCTCCCAGAGCCGGGCCTGGGCCAGCCGGGGGTCGCCGGGAGGGTAGTTGTTGAGGGAGAAGGTCAGGATCAGGGCCTCGGCCGCGGAGTAGTCGTTCCCTGGGAGGAGACGCGCTCAGCCCCCTCCAGCTCACCTGCCCGCCCCCACCTTCTCTCGGAGTCACTGTCCAACCCGCACCCACTTCCCTTGCAGCCGGAGCCTCTGAGCGGCGCTGGGAGAAGGTGGAGGAGGTGGAGGGCGGCGGGTCTACCCCCCACCCAGCTCCCACGGCAGTCACACCCCATGCCACCCTCCTCACCTCCCCAGGGGACCCACTTACCTTCGTAGCCCCCAACGGCGAGAAAAGGGAAGACGGGGGCCCCATAGTCAGCCATGCAGCTCAGGGCCAGGGCCGTGCCATCCTTGAAGGTGAGCGGGGGCGCTGGGGGGAGAGGAAGGACTTCCCAGGACCCACTCCCGCCCCTGCCCCGGCCCCGGCCCAGCGCCAGCCCGACCCCTGGTCAGAGCCGTGTCTCTGGCCCAGTGCAGTGTGAGCTCACACACCACCCCCTCCAGACCTCCAGGCCCATCACCATCTCATCCCGGACGAGCCTCACACCTGGTCCTCCAGGCCTCACACCCGGTCCCCTGGGTGGGGCCCAGACAATGCCCAATCCTGACCATCCCCAGAGCCGCACTGGTTCACGCACCCTCAGCCCCCTCCTCCCTCCAGGCCCCAGTGTATCTTTCTTTCCTGTGACAGTTTGCGGACCCAGCGACCTCGGGCCAGTCTCTAGGCCTTCAACGCATCACAGGGGCTGCATGTGAGTAGGGGCTGCATGTGACCTTGAGCAGCTCTCCACCCCTCCCTGTCTCTCAAAGGAGGACAATCAGACCACCCACGAGTGGTTGTGAGCTTCCAGAATCAAAATAAGGCCAGCGTGAAGGTGGGGACCGGGCCTGAGCTGCCCCGGACCTGCAGCCAGGAGGCCCTGAGGCCCAGGTGCAGACCCTGGGGAGCAGCTCGAAACTGGCGCGCCCTCCACGCAGGGGCCGAGGGTCTGCAGGTCGGAACTGCTTTCCCGAGACCTCCACGCCCTGTGCTGTTCGCCCTTTCACTCGAGTGTGTGAAGTACAACAGGCACGGACGTGGCTTCTGCACCACATGGCAGCTCACAGTTGAAGAAAGACCACAAGCCTGGCCGGGGGGCCTCATTGGATAGAGCGACTGCCTGCGGACTGAAGGTCCCGGGTTCGATTCTGGTCAGGGCACGTGCCCAGGTGTGGGCTCGA